ATTTTTCCAAAAAATCAGCTATAACTTTTTTTTTATTTCATTTTTGACAAATTCTGATGGCAGAAAGAGCAAGAAATTTACATCAGAAACGTTTGAATTTTTTCAAGAGCATAAAATAACAAATAAGGCTGTTGAAAATTAATTAAAAAATGCATTTATCTAGACGTTAATGAATTAAACAGCAATATTTTTGTTTTTCATATTTATAATTTTAAATATCTTCTTAATAAAAATATTTTAAAATTAAAATATTTTTATTATAAAGAAAGTTTAATTTTGATTAGATATAGAATAAGATTTAACAGCTCTAAAATATAAAAATTTTTAGATTTTTGTTGAAAATATATCAACTTTAAAGAACTCTGTTATGATTTATATATACCATGAGTGATTTTTAGCTACAAAAAACTTTCGATTATTTGAAAAATTAAAAAAAAAAATAAAATTTATCAGAAATTCGTGAAGCTTAACCATTCGACTAACTCAGCGATTTTTGCGCGCGACAATAGCATCGTCCAACCCTTCGCAGCATCACCAACCACCCTTCGCACCCACTCCGTCGTGGGGTTCTCTCGACCCCTCTTGCCCCATTTACCCTCTCCAGCATCCGTGGTTCACTACTACTTGACGCTTTCATCCCCCGTAAGAATATTCAGTTCGCGAGCGATGCTCGCCGTGATCATGCCGAAATTTTGATTAGTCTGCACAATTTCGTTCCTGCGAGGACAATCTTAGTAAAAAAAAGAAGGAATCGACTCGTCGATCGCTCGAGTTTTGTTCGCGTTTGTGGAATCACATTTGTGATCTCGCGCGTGTGGAATCGGTAAATTGGCTTTATTAAAGTGTAAATCGATTTTAGAATTTTCATGTGCAATCTATGATCGATCGATTTGGTGCTATAAGTTGGAACGTTTGGATTCTGAATTCGCACAAGGTGAGTTTGGAAGAAATATTTTAGACAGGCAAAAATTATACACAATCACGGATTAGTAGTATTAGTAGTATTCATTATATACGTTGTGTTTATTAATCAGATATTGATTCACTCTTCTATATGCGAAAATTATTAATTATTTCACAGTAATCTTCAATGTAATGAAATAGATTTTGGGCTTAATTTACATTAGAGTTAAATCTCACTTTTAAAATGACTTACTTTGGAATCAAATGTGACATTACGGTTCAGCATTAAAAATATTGACAAAACAAAATAAAGAAAAAGAAAGTTTTTATATACATAATGTATATTTTGTAAATTTTATTTAAAAAATTTACTAATACAAAAGTCTCTCGCTTGCTTCTAGTTGTACATTGGCTTGTTAGCGATACAATAAAATTATTAGTTTGATAAAGAAAAAGATTACGGGGCATAAATACAATTATGTTGAAAAACGTTTGTTTTATGCTCGTTCGTTTTAGGGCGTGCCATATTTGTTTATTACATTAAACGGGGATATTCTCATGTAAATCACATTTCGTACATACATAACGTCATATTTCATATGCATTCGGGAAAACGCTATTAGCGCTACTTCTGTCATTCTACCTTCGTTATTTATTAGACATAAAACAAGGATAGAATGACACAAATAGCACTAATAGCTTCTCTCCGAACGCACCTTTTAAGTGTGAGCTAAGAAAAGCGATATCAGCTGTCGGTGTAAAGTTTCGCTGTGTCTTGAAGACATATTTTCATAGTACGTTGTAGCTCAAGAAGCTATTCGTCCGATAAGACATCGGCTTATTTGACGGACTTCTTAAAGCCGTCTGTAATACCGACTAAACCATATAATTTTTGTATAACAATTACTTTTTTCTCCTTTACAGATTCGAAAATCCTTTTTGGTTTAAAATATGCATTAATACATGTCTGTGAAGTGAAATTTATGTCGAGAATGACAAAAAATTTCGAAATTGAGATCTTGCTTATCATTATTTGGTCCAATATGGCGCTTTAGAGCTGTCATGTCGTGACAATTTTTTATATGAACTGTGCAATCTGTATTTATGAAATAGTAGTTCACAGATTAGAGTAATTTGCACGAAGAAACAACGTTAGAATTTTTATAGAATTGAACTTAGATCCGATTTGCAC